GTATAAATGCAAATTATCAACCAGACCAGAATATGATCCCTGGTGTCCCATATGGTCCCCAAGTATTTCCAGGAGTAATGTTTGAGTGCAAAGCCAGGAGTTAACTCCTGAGCATTGCAGGGTGTGGCCCCCAAACAAACAAACAAACAAACAAACAATATAAACAAGCAAAAAAAAGTGAGTTGAGTTCAAATTTTACGTAATTTTAAGTAATCACCCTAATTGATAATTTCATGGGCTTTTATTCCCTAAACTATACCTTTTTAGTAATGTGGGGCAAATAAAATCTAAATAATGGATAACAGGGGCATTTACATCATATGGATAGTGAGTTAGCTATGTCTCCTGAATCAAAGCTGCTTTTATATCTTTTTATTGCTATGTCTTTTTGTTCACACTATATTTAATTGTCAGATAATTGGAATAAAATTTTATTAATGTTTTTTAGTACAATTTACAAATAGCTTTTGCCATCCATCATTCCCATTTGATCCTCTCCCAATATTACTCATATTTCACAAAGTAAAGGCCTAGCTAATTCAAGTCAGTTTCTAGTGGACTGATCCAAGGCAAGGCTTGGGGAGTCTTATTTATACCTACAAAACAACCCAAGGTCAGGATCAAAGATAGAACTACTCAGAGGTAACTGAAGTGACAAAGATCATAGAACAAAACTGACAATGTCCTGGGGCAGTTTCAGAGATGTTGGTCCTCAGAGATCACTTTTGTGTGAAAAAAATCAACTTCTTGAGAAGGGACGTGGCTGACTTCTTGCTGACCAGAAATATAAAATATATTGTTTTGCCCTATTTTCTTCAAAAACAGAGTATTCAGCTACAAGATGAATTTAAAAATTGAAATGCTGGAGAAAATTTCAGTAAGTGAAATTCCTAGTAGTGATAGTCAGTGGTCTGTGTTAAATATGTATCATTATAAAGTCCATGTAAATGTTCATTATTTATTTCTATGTATTTATCTAATCTAACCATTTGGAGCAATTACAAAGGAAAATCTTCTGAAACTCTTAGTATTTTAGAGTTGAATCTGTACTCCTATGGTATTCCTTTTCTTTTTATGTTTGTATTTACTCCTTGCTTTCTTCGCTTCTTTAATATTCAGCTTGAGATCATTTTCCAAAATGAGTTAATTTCAGCAGAATTTTTATTCCCAAGTACTTTATGGCATCTGTTATAATATAGCCTCAGGACATGTTTCATGAGAGAATAATTATATGGTTAAACAAATAATAATGAATGACAGAAGAGAAATACAGATAAACTTTCATATTTAATTCTAGATGATTTACAAATCTAGAGAGATAAGGTGTAGGGTAAAGATTCTCTGATCATTACTATACGGTTTATAATTACAGACCACAAAGTTTTTATAGGCATTATTTAGTAAAATCTTGTTTACACAAATAAAAATGATAAATATTATATGGTGTTTTACTTGTATAGAACACACCCCATTTCTTCACAAAAGTAAAAGAAAAATATGTTATAAATGTTTGATATTTTTGTGTAATATTAGCTGAACTCAGCATCAGGTCTCCTTAAGTGGAAGTCATAGAGATAGAAATGGAGATAGGAGAAATAAATTATCAGGAAGAATTAATGTGATAATAATTATAATTTTGAAAAACAGGAATAATAAGTTCACAACTCCTGAGGAGAATGAGCTGAGAAAAATTAGAAATCTCAAGTAATTATTAACTGGAGAAAAGCATAGCTGAGGTGGTTAATGGAGAAGCGCTGGCTTAGAAGGAAAGAACCTGAGAGATTTTAGAAAGTGGCGAGAGTGTGGTTGAAGAAAAGGGAAGATTTACAGAAGCTTTAGGGGAGCCCTGAGAGTGACTGAGATGAGATTTAAGGGATTGGTTGATCATAAGAATCTATTTTACTCTAAAATTTTTGAGAGTGACTACAATAGAAATTCAAAATTAAAAGTTATTGTTTTCATACTTTTATTCCCCATTCTGGGGATTGAATTTGGGACCTCACACATGCTCCACCCGTATTCAAAACAATGTGTTCTTTGGTTTAACCCACAGCTTTGTTACTTGCTTATTGTAATTCTCAGGAATTAACTGACCGTCTTAAGGAAATACTGGTTAAGTAATGTTTAGTTTATATGGTGATTGTGTCTTTCACATCATTTCATGCAGATATTCATAGGACAGTCCTTGGTGAAGTGCCATGCATCATAAATATCCATTACAGTTGATATCGTTTTTTTATGTAAAAGATACAGAATAGTTTTTTTCACTTATATAACACTGTCTAAATATTGAACGCTGTGGATCCAGCTGTGCTAAATTGTGAAATTGAAACACGAAATACTTATGACTCAAAAATTTAGGGTCAAACTGGAGCAATGTGGTAGATAGGTAGGGCTTTTGCCTTGTATGTGGTCAACCCAGATTCAATTCCCAGTACTCCGTATGATTGCCCACCAGGCAGGAACATAGGTGCAGAGTCAGGAGTAAGCCCTGAGCACTGCCACGTGTGGCCCTAAAACAAAATTCAAAGAAACAAAGTCCAGGTTCTCAGTAAAACATGTAGCACTGTCTTCCCATTGTCCATTGATTTGCTCGAGCAGGTACCAGTAACATCTCCATTGTGAGACTTGTTACTGTTTTTGGCAAATCCAATATGCTATAGGGAGCTTGCCAGGCTCTGCTGTGCGGGCGGAATACTCTCAGTAGCTTGCCAGGCTCTCAGAGGGAAAGAAGAATTGAACCCGGGTTGGTTGGATGCAAGGCAAATGCCCCTACTTGCTGTGCTATCACTCCAGCCCATTACATATGATTATATATGATTTATATAGCACTGTAGCACTGTCCTCCCATTGTTCATCAGTTCACTTGAGTGGGCACCAGTAATGTCTCCATTGTGAGACTTGTTGTTACTATTTTTTGGCATATCGAATACGTCATGGGTAATTTGCCAGGCTTGCTGCGTGGGCGAGGTACTCTCAGTAGCTTGCCAGGCTCTCTGAGATGGGCATAAGAATCCAACCCGGGTTATGTACCCGCTGTGCTATCACTCCAGCCCATTACATGTAACTATATAAATAATATATATGATTTATAGAATTTATTTATATATTATTTATATACTATTTATATATTATATACGCACATGTATGATATATGCATATGACTTTCAGTGACGGTTGAATTAAGTAGATCTACTTGGTATGTGTGTATAATAGAGACCACTTAGATACTATGTTTTATATATAAATGCGCCCAATTACCTATAATGCACTTTATTTAAGGCATTGTTTTTATAATATAAATAATGGATTTTGATAAGTGAATTGATTATAATTAAAAGAGGGCTATAAAATGCACTTACTAGACATGTATGAAGCAGCATTTACTTCTAGTTATAGCAAGTAAATAACTGGAGTTAATTACAAGGAATAGAAGTTTTCCCTGGCCTTACACAGAAATAGGTCTCTGTGATTATGTCTAAACCAGTTTAAACTACTATTGTATCTTAGAAGTGGAAAATGATGATGGACAATATGATTACTTGATTCCAATGATATTTCTGTATATTATGGCTATACATTGGCAGCAATGGGTGGGGTTCACTCTCTTGCATTGAGTATCTGTTGCACCAGTTGGGTCCACTTGACTCTCCAAGCATTGCTGGGTATAGATATGAGACACTTGAGCCAACCTTGAGGTGAGGGGCCTGGTGGTTCATGATGCCAGATACCAGAGTTACACTTCACCCAGAAATGAATTTTTTCCAATTGGATTGACTGCGAGTCACTAGGAATGCCTTTCTGAGGATCCCTGAAGAGGACCCTCCCCAAAGGAATTACAATAATTATTTTGTGACTAAATGATGAGTGAACAATTACAAGGACCTGAGTAATATATATATATGTGTGTATATATATATACATATATATGTATATCACTGTATCACTGTACTCCCGTTGTTTATCGATTTGCTTGAGCAGGCCCAGTAACATTGTGAGACTTGTTACTGTGTTTGACATATCGAATACTCATATACGTCATGGGTAGCGTGCCAGGCTTTGGCGTGCAGGCGAGATACTCTTGATAGCTTGCTGGGCTCTCTGAGAGGGGCGGAGGAATTGAACTCAGGTCAGCTGTGTTGGCTGCATGCAAGGCAAACGCCCTACCCGCTGCGCTATAGCTCCAGATATATATATATATATATATATATATATATATATATATATACTGTAGCACTGTAGCACTGTCCTCCCGTTGTTAATCAATTTGCTCGAGCGGATACCAGCAACATCTCACAACAAATTGTGAGACTTGTTGTTACTGTATTTGGCATATCGAATACACCACAGGGAGCTAGCCAGGCTCTGCCGATGTGTAAGATACTCTCGGTAGCTTGCTGGGTGCTCCAAGAGAACGGAGGAATTGAACCCAGATCAGCTGCATGCAAGGCAAACACAAAGCATAAAATACTTAAAGTGGAAGAAGACAGAATCAGTAGGTCAGGAGCATATAGCTCCTTGCACAGGACACTGAATTTGATCTTGACACCATGCCTCTCCAACCACCATTAGGTCTAGTCCTTGAGCACAGCTAGAGTCACCTTGGGGGCCTTTGCTCCACTGGGTCATAAGTACCACATTGCCAGCCAGAGTATTGAACCACCTTGCTTTGTTGGCTGCCTATCACTATGGGAGATACTCGGTGATGTCACTGGTTAGATCCTGATGTGCCTCATGAGCACTGCCTGAGGGGCCTTCCCCACCCTGTTCTTCCTAAAGTAGTCATTGGAGATGGGGCTTTTGCCAGCTCTCACAGTTATTAGAGGTTAAAAATTAAGTCTATAGAGTCTATATTTAAGACTCAGGAAGAAAATAACTTCATTCAATCATACCTACTATTTAACTATTTGATTTTAGATCACTTGAATGTTCTTAAAAATATTCCTTAATGCCATGGTATTTCAGGCTCATGTACCTTGATTTTCTTCCATGTTTTTCAGGTCTATTCCCTGCTGTTCTAAATCTTGCTTCTAATGCTCTCATTACTACAAATGCGACATGTGGAGAAAAAGAACCCGAAATGTATTGCAAGTTGGTCGAGCATGTCCCTGGGAAGCCTGTGAGAGACCCCCAGTGTCGAATCTGCAATCAAAGCAGCAGCGATCCTAAACGTATGTATTCAAATATGTATTCCTATGCCACTGGGGAGAAACTATAATTGAGAGTTTTGAAGGCAAAGTTGTATTAAAATAAAAAGATTTGTGATGCCTAAACACTTCCAGAATTTTTCTTCTTCTGTGAGAGTCATTACAAATCTGCTGTGTCATGTGATGAGCATGATTTGAGTTCTTTATATATGCGTATTTATCTTACTATATGAAAGTAGAAGGTTCTTATGAAATATTTTGCAAGTCACAATATCTTAAGCAATTACTATTCATTTGTATAAAAAATTAGCAATCCCAGATCTCAGAAATTTCTACCAAATTATATCAAATATCATAAAACCTGAGTAATATTAATTTCAGAGTAAAAGCAGGAGTGATATGGTATTTGGTATAAGTGATATGACACTTCATGAAATATGAGCTAAAAAGGCAAAGAAGAAAGAGAGAAGAGAATGCTAAAAATAAAGACTGGAACAAGGTGGAAAATTTCACTTGTCAGGGAGCAAAAAGTAGTTAGAATGGCTTGGACTTAAGATGTCAGGGATCAGAAGATAGAGATCAGTTTGGTGCAAAGATGAGAATCAGATTACAAGGACTCTTAAATAGGTGAAGCAGAGTGTTTTATGAAAAGATACCATGCAAAGCCTTTTAGCTAACCTCTATGAACCACATTGATACTTCAAACTTGTTCATGTGTTTATTCAGTATTTGAACATCTATTAATAACTTATACTAGAACATAATGTTAACTCATACATAGCTTTTGACTTAAGGAACTTGCAGAGGAATTAGTGGTAATCTAAGAGTAAACTGAATTTGATGGTGTGTGAAAGAGGTCATTTAAAGATCACTGGGAGAAAGCGACCCAGGTCATGTGAAAATAAGTCAGTAATATGGAAAGAAGAAAAATATACTTAAAAAAAGAAAAAACGTAGGTCTTGGTGATATGAGATGGATCATTCATAGCACTATAGATAATTTTTTAATAAATTTATTAGTGAAGAGTAGGATGACCAGATAATTTTAGACATGAGTGTTAATTTATGTACAATATTAAAGATGAAATAATGAACAATCACCATATAATGGGAAGGTCAGTAAAGTGAATTCTTGAAATCAACAAGGTACAGTATAATAGAAATGAAACTTTTGGGTTACTTTTAAATTTGTTTCTCATTTTCAATTGTGAACCACTTATCAGTTTAGGGATACTAAAAACATTAGTATGTTTGGAGAATGGGTATGTCAGCAATTAAAATTGGCCTTATATCTGACAGAAAGTTTAAAAGGGTTAAGAAAGAAATAATCAGAAACTTCCAAATTCTTCCTTGCCTTTTAATTAGTCCGATTATAGCATGTGCTGTAAATCAGCATTCTTCAGCCCTTCTGCATCTGCAGACCATTACTTCACTGTGATCCCACGGTTGAATACCATTGTTATAGGGGGTTGTGTTGTAGATATACAAAGGGGAAGTTATAGAAGAACTCATCCTCTCTGTCTACAGTTGTTGGATAGAAGAATTAGGACAAAGCACCTAAGTCACAGCCTTGAAAAAACATTAAAAATTCAGGTTCAGTAGACTCTAGGAGAGCGAGGGAGAGAAAAAAAGTTCAAGGATACTAGAAAATAAAAAGACACTGTATATGTTGAAAGAATTTTCTGAAAGAATAAACCAACAATGCTGATTTTTCCAATATTTGGAGTGGTGAGACTTTGTTGTTACTGTGTCTGGCATATCGAATACTCTCGGTAGCTTGCCGGGCTCTGCGAGAGGGGCGGAGGAATCGAACTCGGGTCGGCCATGTTGGCTGCGTGCAAGGCAGACGCCCTACCCGCTAAATTATGAAATAGTTTTTTTAAAAATATGAAATCCTTTGGAGGATTTGTTAAATGGTCAGTGGCTTCTTAGGGCAAAAACGCACTGCAGACTTATTAAATAAATGCTGAAGAGGACATACGTGGAGTATAGAGACACGTAGTTAGCAAAAAAGACAATATCAGTGAAACCAGACCCCGAGTCTATTAATGGGGGTTGTATATGTGAATGTGGTGTGTATGTGTGTGTGTGTGTGTATGTGTGTGTGTGTGTGTGTGTGTGCGTGCGCTTTATGTTGAGGGGAGATGGGACCAAGAAACACTGTTTTAGGGATATTTGCTTTCTGGTAGCAAGTATGGTCTGGTGACTTAGTATTTTTAAAACAGGAGTGGGAAATATTATTCAGTCATGGCCATTTGGATATTTATAACATTTTTCACAGTTCATACAAAATCAGCAGATAGGCTGAAGGCAGCCAAAGAAAAGCACACATCTGTTCCATCAAGTACAAAGGCCAGACCACATTATTATTATATACAAGGGGGAAGTTGTCGAAGGCACAGGCCTTTTATGGCCTATGGGTCAGATATTTCCCCACTGATTAGTGCAACTTTGTAGTTCACGATTCTTAATTTTTTTAAAGGAGAGGAAGTTATGTAGGTGTTACGCAGGAATATTCTCTCAAATGTTCTTGATGTGCAAGAGGATGGAGGCAGAGACAGGAAAAGGTGTGGTGTTGCAAACATTTTCAAAGATAGAAAACTATGCATGTTTAGATCCTGAAAGCATATGGGAGAAAAATTAGCAATAAATTTGTAGTGAATGTAATATCTCTCCCAGTTTTTAAAAACGTGTTGGAGCTAGAGTGAAGGTACATGGGTATGATGCTTGCCTTGCAGGCAGCCAACCCAGGTGCAATCCCGGACACCTGATATGGTCTCCTGAGCTCACCAAGAGCACAGACAGGTGTAATCCCTGAGCACCATCAGGTATGTCCCTAAAACAAAAAGTGTCATTTAACATTTGTGAGAAGCCTTAAATCGGGAGATACATACCTCATACTTTTTTTTTTTAAATCTGATGAATCAGTAAAAGGGAGGATGATAAGAGACAGAGAAAAGGAAATAATGGGAAGGAAATTCTTAATTGTTTAAGTAGTTTATTAAGATGTGAGTTTGGGTCTTCTGCTGAGGAAAGAAGTAAAATTTTATTCGCCTTGTAAGAAACTAGGAGAATTACTGAGTCATAATCAGACTAAGATGAAAATTTATGCAGGAACAAATGAAAGAATATTATTTGCACATATCATTATTGAGTTTCAAGAAGTGAGCCGACATAGTTGGGCATTGTAAAGTTCATTGCTTGAGATAATGATAAGTCATTATTGAAAAGGATAAAAAGAACTGTGATTGGGGTAGGAAAAATGGAGTGGAAACTTTGGGCTGGAAAAATGAGTAAGATGCATTTGACAAATTGAATTCCCAGAAGGCCTCCATCATTTCCCTCTTCAGTGTACTATATTTAGGAATTCTTCTGTGAATAAAAGATCCCACCCAGTCCTTTCACACAGAGGCAAAGAATAAGTTGTTTGAGTAAAAAAATGCATACAGGATATGCTTTATATTTACCCATTTTTATTAGAGTATTTTTTATACTTTTCAGTCTGAATTGACTTTGTGAGATTAATTTTGTTAGCAATTTTCTTATGTTTTTAAAGTCCTGCTTTGAAACTCAAAATTTAGAATAATACTGCTACAAGAGTAAAATTTTAGCAAAAATATATATTTTAGTAGAATTGGATTAACCAATGATAAAATTCTACTAACTCAGCCAATAGCGAAAATACAACTTGAAGGTCTGTACTTTAATTATCTAACACAGAAAAGGAAACTTGAACATCTTGGCTGTTAATAGATTATGCTTCCCAATTAAAAACTAGCAGTTTGAAAGGTTTACTTCATCAACAATTTTCCTTGCCAATTTTCTGATGCAGTTAGCCTTTGGACTGACTTGTATAGCTATCCCTGTTGTGGATGTTATACATTTCTATCTCCTTTGAAATAAGGGAAGTATGCCAACAATTAATCAGTATTTGCAAATTAATTATGATTAAACTTTCATAGTGGGGATTATGGCTAATTGTTGATTAATCTCCTAGTTTTCCTTTTCATGACTACTTCTCATATCAATTTGACCCCAGGTGGCAGATATTAAAATTTCCAATTAGACAGCTTCTCTCAGAATTACCTAAGGGCCACAGATCTATTTTGGAAATGTGATTGTTGTGTTTTTATACCTTATATTAGATCCACAATCTGTAGAGAAGAATCAGGAGGATGTGCAGGGGATAGTTGTTGTGATATTTATTTTTCTTCAGAAGCAATGCCAGTAATATTTCATTTATGACTCTGATTCCTAATGTGCCAATTTCAGAACCAAGTCATACCACCAAGGGTATTTACTTGATATTTAGTTATGCTTCTGGTATTTGCTTTCAGTTGAAGACCTCTCACCTTCCCTAACATCAACTGCTAATTATTAAATATATTCAGCAATTTTCCTTTTTTCGAAAGAATGCCCTATTTTACTAGACTGCAAAAGTGATAAAACATGGTACAAAGCAGTTCATAAAACTGAATGAAATAATTTCCAATAAAATAGCATAATTTCATCTTTTCCTGTACTCTCATATTTTTTAATATAAGTATTCTAGGAAATAAGTTGTTTTTAGTACACGATAGCAGAATACTTTAATAAAATTAATATAGGCAAAATGTTCACAAAAATTTGAAAAGGAAACTAATATATTTAACTAAACTTCTTATTTAACTTATTTAACTTAATTTTTATTGATTTTTTAATTTGGGGGGACCACACCTGACAGTGCTCAGGGCTTGCTCCTGGCACTACACTCAGACCTCACTCCTAGTGGGGATTAGGGGACCTTGTGACGTAGTGGGGATCAAACCAAGGTCAGTTGTGTGCAGGCAAGCACCCTACCCACTGAACTACCCATCTAGCCCCTATACTCAGTTTTTAAAATAGTAAGCTTTTGCTTTTTTAAATAAGTAGAATATGAATAGTTTCATGTATTATAAGCGTAATAATTTTTTTAAAAAATGTGTTTGGAGTTGATTTTATTACATTATTGAACGTCTACTATAGTTTCTACTGAGAAACTCCATTTTTTTGGTTCTCATTGTCCTTTACATTCTTTATGAGCTGAAATTTGCTTATTAGGATACAGAACAAGTTATGTCTTGAACAGATGTGTAATTCATTTTGTTCATGCATAACAAGCATGATTGGAATATTAATAGTTTCAATGTTTATCTGGTAAACTTGTGAGTGTTACCTTCCCATATAAGATAATTCCATTGCCCTATGGGAAAGTGAGAGTTTAAGACACTAAAATTTAAAAGAAATAAAAAACGTTTTTAGAATAACCCTTCATTTTGACATTATGGTTTTATACAAATTTTATTGGCTTTCAATTCTTTCATTTTATGGCATAATAGTAATGACTCATTAAATTGTGATTTTAATAAACTGGAAATTACTATTATTTGAAAAATGAAAAAACACAACTTTAATGTCTAATTCTTTATCTCTCCAAGTGATAGCACTCTTTCAATTATCATTTTTCATCTATTTTATTTATCTTTTTTTGAAATTTGTTCTCATGTACATTTTTAAAAACTTGAATATTTGGAGGTGGCTGTGGCAACAGTAAAACAGGTAGAGTGCTCATCTTGCATGCAGCTGACCTAGGTTCAATCCCTAGAACCTTATATGATTCCCAAAACATTGCCAGGAATGATTCCTAAGTCAGAAACAGGAGTAAACTCTGACATCAATAGGTTGGCTGCAAAATAGAAACACGAAACAAAAAATTGACTCTTTGTCTTGAAGATTAAGAATCTGGAATACATTGCTGTGTAGTTTTTTAATTTTTTTTTATCCCTATTGTAGGAATAGAAGGTGATAAGCCTATGGTCAGTTAAATATAAAAAAAAGTTTTCAGGTAGAATATATAGATCCTATATGGAGCTCTTCATTTTCTAAATCTTGTCCTCTCATCACTACTATCATTAAAATACATTGTTAGATTAGTGAATTATGTATTAAATCGATAGTCTAGGAGTGTTCCTCAGAGTGTTATGTTTTATTATTTGAAGTACAAGTAAGAACTTGTCACACACTTTTCGAAAATTTGGGTTACACCACTGTACTACTCCCAAAGCTTACATTAGCACCTGTTCTTGTTAATCATGTAAAATTCAAAAAGACTTTTTTCTTTTATGACAAAAGGAAAAAAAAACAAAATTACTGTTCACTTTTTACATCGCCACACTCGCTAGAATAGCATGTATCCCAAGGAGTCAGTGATACCCCCAATTCCAGTTCCGGGAACTTCTCTGTATAGACTGCATTTATTAGGACCAGAGAGGTAGTACAGAGGGTGGGCTGCTGGTATGGCATATGACCAACATCGATTGGATCCCTGGTGTTCTCCCTAGACCCCCACCTGTTGTGATCCCTCAAAACATACAGGTGTAAGCCCTGAGCGTTGTAAGGTATGGTCCCTCCAAATAAACAAATAAATAAAACTCCAAAAAAGAACTTGCATTTATTATAGCCTCCTGATTTGTAGCAAGGGTCAGTGCTAGTTTAGATTTTGTGTATTTTGTTTAGTTTGAAACTAATCTTTTGGATCTGGGAACAAAACCCTATTTTTTTAAATAAAAATAAACGATGAGACCAGAGAGGTGAATTAGGGGTACATAAGTCTGTGAGTCTTACCCTGGTTTAATCCTCCATGTTACCTGGCCCTGAGCATCACCAGGTACAGCCTTGGAGGTCTCTGGGCCTCTGCTCTAGTGGTCCATGTCATCTCTGTTACTACAATGCCCAAGCAGCATCACCTCCCTAGACCTTGAACCAATCAAGTCACTAAGAGTGACCCCCTGATCAAGTTACTGTTTTGCTATATGTGATTACTGCTTATACAAGGTTTTATGGGAACACTGCATTCAGATAGCAGAAAATAACTATACTTCTTCAATTTATGGAAAAAGATATTCGCTTTTAAAAGAATATTGTGAGGCCATTCTTTTGATGTGTCTTCCCAGAGAATATGAGCAGCTAACCCATGGAGGAGAGACAGGGAAGTTAACAGCTGATATCAACTTTGTTTATATTTTATGGGGAACATTGGCAAAACTCCAAATGAGATCTTAGGAAATTAAGGCTCATTACTGCAGTCTGTGAAACAGAATTGAGACTCCTACAACTAGCATTCCTGCCCTCCTCACCTGTGCATAAGCTGGTCATGCTTAGATGAGGAGAATGGAACAGAACTTACAAAACCAGAGAAAGAAAGGAACAGTGGGAGAGGATTGGGTGCCAGTGATTGTTTGCATTTCTTGTTTCCTTTCTCCAATATCCCTTTTGATGTCCCATGTTCTTGTCTCTTTAGAGTAAAGATAAGAGAAACTCTATTGGTAGCATGGTGTTTCATTTGCCATCCCTTTCTGTGTTGTCATTATTTTCCATGCTCCTCCACTGACTTAGAGATTATGGGATAGACAGTACTGAATGGGAGGTATGGAGTATCTTTCATAATATTCTTAAATAGCCATTAAAGGTCATTAAGGATTGACTACAGAAGAGGCACATAAAAACTGACAGCATTTTATATTAAAAACCAGATACTTACTGGCTTGCCCAGTCTTGATAATAATGAATGTGTCATAAGGGCAAATTTTCAAGGACCTTTCAACCATGCTCCACAATTTTACGTTAGCAAAGTTGATGGCATACACGAATTGTATCCAGCTTTAGAGATTTTGCTTCTTAGAATGATTGGCACATCTATTAGATTTCAATATCATTTCTTCACACCTAATTTCTGTAGCTATCTTTAAATTTGCCCATTTGACTGAATGGCCAGAGTACCAATAATTTCTTTTCTTGTATCCTAAGCATTTAATCATTTCTCACTACCTTGGGGAATGCTATCAAAAAAATCAGCATTAACAAAATCATATTAAAGATATCAGTTGCTTCTATCTTTATGTTGTTACTGTTTGATATACTTATGATCAATTAAAATTATTTTTACCTTTTGTTTTCTTTAATTGACCAGGTAGAAATTTATTTTATGATTTTATTTCCTTATTTCCCATGTTGCTGCTAATGTAATAGAGAGACACCCGATTACGAATGCTATTGATGGGAAGAACACTTGGTGGCAGAGTCCCAGTATCAAGAATGGAATTGAATATCATTATGTGACAATCACACTGGACTTGCAGCAGGTATAGTGCGCCTCTATTTTTTCATATTTTAGTTTTATTGTTATTATTTACACTTTCATTATTATTTAAATTTTTATTTTAGGCATCACCATTTGCAATATTGATAATTCCAGGGCATCATGAATAAAATATTCCAACGCCACCCTCCACTGATATCAATCTCCTTACACCTATATCCCAGTTTCTTCCACTCTAAATCCTCTCCCTCTTCTCCCCTTGCAGTGATATACTATTATAGGCCAGGTCTCAGTTTCTGTTGCCTTTGGGTATTTGATGGTTTCTTACCGTGTTTCTTCATATCTCATATATGAGGGAATTCATTATATGTCTATCCACCACCTGACTAATTACATTCAGCATGATGCTAGCCTGATCTATCCACACAGCAGCAAATTGCATGATTTCGTCTTTCTTACAGCCAGGTAGTAGTACATTATGTATATGTACCATAGTTTCTTTATCCAATCATCTGTTATTAGACACAAGTTATTTCCTGATTTTGATGACTGTGAGGGAATTCTGCAATAAAAATCGGAGTGCAAGTGATTTTTCTAAATAGAGTACCTAAGGCTTTTTTTAAAAATGGACACCAAGCAGTGGAATTGCTGAATCATATAGAGGATTACATCCTAATTATTGAGAAGGGTCAATATTGTTTTCCCTAAACACTTGACCAGTCAACATTCCTACCTGGAGTGGATAAGGATCCCTTTATCTATATACCACAACCACACTGGTTGATTTTGTTCTCTTTATGTGTAACAATTTCAGTGCTGTGAGATGATATATCATTGACTTGATTTGCATTTCCTTGGTAATGTAGAGCACTTTTTTAAAATTAATTTTTATTAGTGAAACACCATGAGGTACAGTTGTAGATTTATAAATTTTTGTGCTTGGGTTTCGATTATTCAATGATCAAATACCCATCCCTCCACCAGTGCCCATTTCCCACCACCGTGGATCCCAGTATCCCTCCCACCCCCAACCCCCCATTTCACCCTGCCTCTGTGGCAGGGCATTCCCTTTTGTTCTCTCTTTTTGGGTGTTGTGGTCTGCAAAAGAGGCATTGAGTGGCAATCATGTTCGGTCCATAGTCTACTTTCAACATGTATCTCCCATCCTAGGAGGATCCTCCAAACACCCCTTATTTGGTGTTTAGAGCACTTTTTAATATACCCTTTGACTGTCTGTCTTCTTTGAACAATTTTCTGTTTGCTTCTTTCCCTCCATTTTGTTTTTTATGAGATTGGTTGTTCTCCTTATAAAACTCTACCAGTGGTTTAGCATATCTTGGATGTTAACCCTTTGTCAGAGGAGCTGTAGGCAAATATTTTCTCTCAGTCAGTGATTCCCTTTTTATTATGGTTATAATTTGGCCATGGGAGGGGGTGCTGGAAGGGAAGGTATACCCAGTGGTGCTCAGGCCTTATGCCTGGCTCTGTGCTCAATGATCACTTCTATGGTCCTGGGGGACCATATATGTTGTTGGGAATTGAATTCAGGTCAAAAGAATGCAAGATAAACACAAGCACACTGTCTTTTCAGTGCCATCATCATTTTGTTTGTGGGACAGAAGCTTCTCAGTTTGTTTATTTTGGCTTCTGTTTTATATACCAGTGGTACTAAATCATTGAAGATGTCCATAGATTCAATGTCATGAAGTGTTCTTTTTTTTCATCTTTTTGGCTCACACCCAGCAATGCTCAGGGGTTACTCCGGGCTCTGCACTCAGGAATTACTCCTGGCAGGGCTTGGGGGACCATATGGGATGCCGGGGATTGAACTCAGGTCAGCCATGTCAGCAAGGCAAACATTCTAACCACTGTACTATCGCCCCAGCCTGAAATGTTCTAACTATATTTTCCGCAATATAATTTATTGATTCAGAAATGATATTGAGGTATTTAATGCATTTTTATTTGAATTTTGCATGCTTTTAGAAAGGGGTCTGAATTTATTTTTTTGCGTGTGATCAACCAGTTTTCTCAACTGTATTTCTTGAAGAGGCTTTCCTTGCTCCACTTTATACCTTTTGTTCATTTGTCAAATATTAACTGACATATACCTGAGGATCTTATGAACTCTAACTAGACTTAGAGTCTCTTATTTTAAATTATACTATAAAACTATAGCTTTGATAACTTGTAGCTTTACAGTATAATTTAAATTAGGGCACATCCTCTTTTCTTTTAGGATTTCTTTGGTGATTATGGGGAATTTTATTACCTTATATAAAATTCAAAAGTATTTGATCTATGACTCTTTACCATGAGTATTTTTATAGGTTCTGCTTTGAATCAGCATAGTGCTTTGGGCGAGGTTGCCATCTTGACAGTATTAGTGCTTCCAGTCCATGAGCAAGGCATATGTTTCCATTACAAAAGTAACTCAAAACTAGCAGAAGGAAGGAAATATTAAAGAGAGTAGAAAATGAAATTCAATCTAAATAAAACCAAAAGGTCAATGAAACCAAGAGATTTATTTTTGAAAGACTCACAAAAAAAGGAAGAAAGGAAGGAAGGAAGGAAAGAAAGAAAGAAAGAAAGAAAGAAAGAAAGAAAGAAAGAAAGAAAGAAAGAGGAAAGGAAAGAGAAAACTCTGGTAAACCAAATCCGAATATAAAGGGGATACCGTGCAATAGATACCATAGAAGTTCGGAGGATGAACAGGGATTAATTTTAAAATCTTTATACTATGACTGGGCAGCTTTGAACAAATTGATACATTTTCGGACTTCTATAATCTCTCATGTTTGAATCAAGAGGAAGCAGGGTACCTGAACAGGCCAATTACTATTGAGGAAATCTAAATAGTAACCAAATCTCCCCAAAAATGAAATCCCAGGCCTATCTATTTTTACTAGTAAGTTTTTCCAAACCTTTAAAGAAGACTTACTCCCAATATTTTTCAGGTTCTTTCAGAAAGTTTAAGAAATAGGAATCCTCACCACCAGCTTTTATGAGACAAACATTAATCCTGATATCAAAAGCAGAAAGAGACAACACACTCCAAAAACCCGTACCTATATTCCTGATGAACATAGATGCAAAGATCCTCAACAAAAATGTGAATGCATGCATTGTATATGTCTATTGATTCTAGGAGCTTTTTTGAAGTCTTTAGGGTTTTCTTGGTACAGTATCATGTTATCTGCAAAAAGTGAATGTTTACTACTTTTCTACTCTGGAAGCCTTTTACATATCCTTCTTGCCCAATTACTATGGTCATCAGTAATGATCCTCAGCAAAATGTATCAGACTGAATTCTAAAATGTATCAAAGAGGACATTCACCATGACTAGATAGGATTTATTCCAGGGGTGCAAGTATATTTTAATATATACGAGTCAATTAATGTCATTAAAGTAAAGTAAAGGCCCTCCCGTTGATCGTCGATTTGCTCGAGCGGGCCCAGTAACGTCTCCATTGGAGACTTTGTTGTTACTGTGTCTGGCATATCCAATACTCTCGGTAGCTTGCCGGGCTCTCCGAGAGGGGCAGAGGAATCGAACTTGGGTCGGCCATGTTGGCCACTTGTAAGGCGAATGCCCTACCCGCTGTGCTATCACATAAATACAAGAAAAATAAGAACAATATGAACATATCATAAATGCAGAAAAAAATTCAACACCCTTTCCTGATCAAAACTTTCAATAAAATGTGGGTTGAAGAAACTTTCCTCAACATAATTAAAGCAATTTACCATAATTATGCAGAATTTACTGCTGAAAATACAAAAAAGGATATACATGCTAACCTTTTGGTAGCTACATTGCAAACCATAATGCCGAAAAGGAAAGATGGGCGGGAGAGAGGGAGGTTGGTAGGGAGAGGGGGTGAGAGAGAGAGAGAGAGAGAGAGAACACGTTTTTGCCATAGAGGCAGGTTGATGAGCGGGGGGCTAGGGAAACTGGGAATATTGGTGGTGAAAAATGTGCATTGGTGAAGGGATGGGAACATTTTATGCCTGAAACCCAATCAATCACTAACAACTTTGTACCTGTGTATGTCATCGTGATTCAATTAAAAAAAATCTTGATTAAAAAATACACAACAGCATCATAAAGTTAAAAAACTGAAAGCCTTCCCTATATGATCAGGCACAAAACAAGGCTCACCACTCTTGCATTGCATTTCAATATAGTATTGGAAATTCTGACCATAGTAATTGGGCAAGAAAGATATGTAAAAGAAATCCAGATCAGAAAAGAAGTAAACTTTCACTTTATGCAGATAACGCAATACTGTATCAAGAAAACCCTAAAGCCTACAAAAAAAAACCCCTCCTAAAATCACTAGAATCAATAGACATACACAGTAAAGTTGCAAATAAATGCTTGGAAATTCATCCGTTTTCTATAGGCAAATACTGCAATAGAAGAGAGAAATTAAAAAATAAATACAACACAATTGTGCCTCAGAAAGTTAAATACCTTAGATTCAGCTTACTGAAAGATGTAAAAGTCATATGCAAGGAAAATTGTACATCTCTTTTCTAAAAATCATTACACATTTTGGAAATTTTATTTTTGATTTGCTCTATAGTAGTTTGGGGGCAAAAGACTTTTTTTTTCTTATCACACTCCATTATATCCTTAAAACAGTGAACAAAGGCATCTATTTATTTTATTTATTCTTGTTTTTAAATATTTGGCTTTTATTTCTAATGCACTGTAGCACCGTAGTACTATCCTCCCATTGTTCATCTATTTGCTCCAGCAGGCACCAGTAATATCTCCATTGTGAGACTTGTTACTGTTTTTGGCATATCAAATATGCCATGGGGAGCTTGCCAGGCTTTGCTATGCAGATGGGATACTCTCCGTAGCTTGCCAGGCTCTCTGAGAGGAATGGAGGATTATAACCCGGGTCAGCCGTGTGCAAGTCAAACGCCCTACCCACTGTGCTATCGCTCCAGCCTTTATGTCTAATGAATGACTGAAATGAAAGCAAGAAAACTGTTCAGGTTGAATTCGTACCTGACACTTGCTTCATTAG